TTTATGTTCTATTTGATTTCAGTTTCTTTCTTCGTTTAAAAATATCACTAAGATAGTGATCGTGATTTGATATGATCTATTTAAGATCGGTAATGAAAATGAAAATCTAAAATATCTGTTGATCTGTTTTGATTACATTTTATATTTGCCTAAAATACCCTACCCATTGTCTTGGCCTGCTTTGGCAGGCAACGATCCTCTAGCGATCCTCTGAGCATGTGATCTGCACTTCATGCAAACGAATTCTTGCTGCTGAGTTTTATATATAAATATATATGTATATTAATGATTTTTCTTGGTAGTTTTTGACAAAATGATCTGCCATATTCGACGAACTATTGACTTGTGATCGTGCCAGCTCGAATGTTACAGCTCAATTGGGGCAAAAAGTAGTCTAAGCATGTCTGGTAGCACTCGGCGTCGCCTTATTAATGAGCTACCAGGAAAGTGGACAGCTAAAGCAATGTTCACTTGACGCCTAGTTAAGTGCGAAATCTGACAAGCCTCCCGTTCGAGTGGCATGGCCATTGATCGATGGAAGGATGCGCTGGACACTCAGTTTTTTTTTGGAGGAGGCGCTCTCGTATTTTGACACATGGTTCATAAATCACGTGCAGTGAAGGGGCGCGCGCGCGCCTACATAAAGTCACATAACTCACAGCTGGCACTGGAAATGATGTCGCTTCAAGTACCCGGACAAGTGTCCTGGCAGGCGGGGAGACTGAGAGCCAGATTTGGCGGGTGTGCGCCCAAAAATTTCTTTGAATTGCGACACGATAAAATAACATGCGACTCGGATTTCCCAAAAGACAAGTAAGGAAAACACTGGCGCGCACATTACAAAAATAAATAAAACAAAAAAAAAAAAAAAAACGAGAAGCAAGGAGCACAAGACCTGCTGGCCTGGCCAGGACATTCCATATTCCACAAGATGCAAAACAAATACGCACTTCCTGCGAGCTGCGAGCTGCGACGAAACGGCGGACATGTCTCGATCTAAAGTGGCGCACAAAAGAAGTTACTTCCTGCCTAGCAAAAAAAAAAAAGTAAAAAGTGAAAAGGACCAAAAGGACGAGCTCAAATGAATTTATTGCAATTGCCCGTCGTCTGTCGTTATGAATGCGCCGTCGTTATTTGAGTGCTCGGCTGAAGTCTTAGCTAAAATTGCATAAAAACTCCAGCTCGAGCCTATTAAAGGACATTGGCTTAGTCTCATATTTTGACACCTAGGCCAAAGTCCTGCACTGGACATGCGTCTGTCTCTCTAGACGGCAGCTAAGCTTCTTTTGATAACAACGTTCGACAATGCACGGATTTCATACCCTCTCTCTCTCTCTCTCTCTCTCTCTCTCTCTCTGTCTGTCTGTCTGCTGTTGTCTCCTGTTTCCTGGTCTTATCCTGGCCCTGGTCTCATCTTAAGCTGACATACAATCACATTTCGCATTGTCCTACCGTACCTTGGCCCTGCCTTCCTCTAGAGCTGCTTCCTTCCCGTCCTTTTGCTTTCCTTGTTTTTGTTTTTGCTCTCTCGTTTTTGAGGCAAAATCTCGCTGAAATTTTTGTCTGGCTACGTTCTCCGATTTCCTGCTGTCGCCTCTGCCGGGCCGGGGCGGGTCAGCCGTGCGGGGCAACACCCTACGCCAGTCTCTGCTATATCTATCCATCTCTCTGTTCTATGCAATATTCAGGCACTTCCTTTGATTCCTGCACGTGTCCAGCATTGGCATTTACATTTGCATTTATGTCTTATATCTTAATATTAATATGCCTTGTGGGCGTGGCACGCAATTTGCATATTCTTGGATCGCATTCCACACAAAGCCCACCTGGGCAATTTAACATAATTTTCCGTGTGTCCTGCGTCTTGGCACACGCCTAAGCAAGCTCGCACTCGTTCTCGTCCTTGTTTTTTGTTGTTTTATTCAGTTGGGGTTGAGTACGCGTCATTTAGGGGTAGCTAAGAGAGGCGCGGCAAGGCGAGGCGCGGCAAGGCGCGGCGCAGCGCAACTTTCTACCCCGCGCGACACAACGCCCAGCCGGAAGTGCATTTTATGCCTTGTGATTACGTCCAGCTTTTTCTTGTTTTTTTTTTTTTTTTTCTTTTCGTAAGCTGGGGTGCGCCAGACACGTGGGTTCCGCGATTGCGCCTAGCTCGCAGCTCTGGTCCTTCAGCTGGTCCTGTTCAGCCTCTCAGGCGTGACTGCCTATTTCCTGCTGCCAGGCAATTTATGCGCCATTAACAATGCCAAAACCCAATTGAAACTCGTTAAAAACTACGTAAAATAAAAAAAAAAAACAAATTCAAACATATTTCATCAAATATTTTGCTGCTATTTCCGGTCCGGCGTGTTGATTATTGAGTGAGTGGGTTGCCAAGGGCCCGAGCCCGTGGCCCGAGCCACGCGCAGGAAGTGTCTCTCCTCTAATATCCTTCTGACTCATGTTCAGCTATCTCTGGCCCTGTAAAGCATATGCCCCTCTTCCTGATAAGCACCCAGCTGCCAAAAGAGTTTGAGCTGGCATTCGAATTCCCTTCAACAAGGGAATATATATGTGGATATATAGATATATGTATGGATGGATATGCCTTACTCTCTTATAGAAATCAATATAAATTAGTTTTAAATACCATTTAAAGACTCTCCAGAAAAAGTTTTCAATAATTAACATTCAGCAAAAGATTTGGGCAGATTTCCTTGCATTCAACTCTTTTATCTCAGGATCTTTTATGGCTATGTCCGAAAAATTTGGTATGTAAATTCTTGTAGATCAAATACAACTCAAACGCATGTTAGCTAATGGATATAGTCCAATATTTACTTAGAAATCAAAAAAGAGGATTTGTAAAAAAAGCCCAAACGCAATGTGCCTGAGTAGAAAAATCTCCAAATTTTGTAAGACGGCTGACTCAGACTTCATATATATAACTTTTATTATATATAGATTAAATGATTTAGCTATATTTTATAGCAGAGCTACAGCTAGGAAATTTTGATATATGAATGCGCTCAACTCATATACATATACATACATACATATATATACAGAAACATACATATATGGACATTTATATAGATCTTAAGACAATATGCACATGTATAGACAATTACCTCCTAGTAAAACCTTCCAATACCTTTCTTATAGACAGCATCTCGTGTGCTCTTTAAATAGTTTCAACTACTTTGCCATTTGCTGCATTTATGGAAATGGTTTCGTTTTCCATCTATTTCCAAGCACTTGAGCCTAAAGAAGTGCTATAAATCATAGTCAGACATGCGGATAAGATAGTTGCCTGAAGACTCGAAATCTTTTAAAGTATCTGTTAAAGTATGGAAATTGGGTTTATAGAGTATAAATTGAATAAGTTGTGATTATAGTTAAGTACAGCTCCCCCCTCTCTCTTTCTCTACCTCTTTGTCTTTCTCGCTCTTGCTCTGCAGTTCTCCAAGCGAGCAGCCTCATCTATGGGCCACTTCAATGGGCTAGCTTTGGCAGGAAATTCACTTGAATATTTTAGAATTTCAACTTACATACGTTAAGGTTTAAAATCCGCAAAAGGTTGAACTTTCCATAGCAAATATTTAAACATAGATCTTCAAGATCAGGATTATTTCTCTCTCTCTCTCTCTCCCTCTCTCTTTTTTACTCCCTCTCTTCTCCTTTGCACTTTGCTTTGGATTTTCTGAAACTTTGCTGAAATATTTGAGAACTGTTTCAATGAGAAGAGTTTGTTTGAATTTCGTTTTTGAATTGTTTTTTAATTTGTTGTTGCTATTATTGCATTTCAATAATAATAATAATAATAATAATAATAATAATAATAATACTTATTAGCTAGTTTAGTGTCTTCCATGCTTATAACAAAAACTTAAAACTATGAAAAAAAATTGTGGTTTTATATCATTGTCTTCCATGCTTAAACTATGAAAAAAAAAAAGTTGTTGTTAAAACTAGGAAACTTCTAGAATCTGGGACTTGGTTTGTTTTTGTGTTTTTTGTTTTCACTAAGGCAACAGTTTTTTGTTGTTGTTGTTTTTGTTTTGTTTTGTTTTGTTTTTTGCTGGTTATATACAGTTTGTACAGGCTTTGTTTTTGCACGCATCTCGCTCACTGTTCCTGCCACGAGGAGATATAGTCGAGCAGCTCCTCATCATCGGGCTGCTCGTCGCTGAAGCTATCGAAGGACTCGAATTTGAAATGTTGCTGCTGCTGTTGCTGTTGTTGTTGCTGCTGCTGCTGCTCGGACTCCTGTTCGGTGAGCTCCTGCTTGACACAGCTGGCCGACAGATCGGAGGCATCGTCGCTGTACGAGTGCGTGGGCGAGCTGGAGTGATACGAATGTCCGGCATATTTTTGTCCAGTGCCCAGGGCGCCGCCGCTGCTGTCCAGGCTATCGTTATAGTCGTTATAGTCATGGCTGCCATCGTTGCTGCTCTCGTCCGCCAGGCCGCCGAACAGCTGCTGGCACCTTGGCTGCCCATCGTCCAGCATATCCTGCAGACCGCGTATATACTCAACAGCGATGCGCAACGTGTCCACCTTGGAGAGCTTTTTGCTGGCGCCGCGTCCGCCGTTCGATAGCGTATTGATGACAGTTTGCGGCAAATGCTGGCGCAGATTGACAAAGCCATTGTTCACCTGCTTGACACGATTCCGTTCCCGGGCATTGCGACGAGCCACCGAGGGCAGCTGTTCGGCGCCGCCGTACGGCAGATTCGAATAGTTGTATTTCTTTTTGGCCAGCATGGGCCCAATTGTCGACTGTTGCATGTTCTGCAGTTGGCTGTTGCCCAGCGGCAGCTTGGGCGCAATCAGCTGTTGTTGTTGCTGCTGCTGGTGTTGCAATTGTTGTTGCTGTTGCTGCTGCAGTTGTTGCTGCAATTGTTGCTGCTGCTGATGCAGCAACATGATGTTGCCGTTGGTCAGCTGAAAGTGCGAATAGTTGCTGCAGATGCTCGTCATGTTTGTATTCCGTTTTGCTGCTTGTTGACTGTCTGGAATCAAATTCCGCAATGATAAACCTCGTCCTGCGCGCTCGCCCTTAAGTAGCTGCCCCGAGCGCTGCCGCTGCCGCTGCCAACGTCGACTGCAGCAGATCGCGCTACCTGCCTCGTACAAGTGATCTCTCATTCTCTCTCTCTATCTCTCTCTCTCTCTCTCTCTCTCTCTCTCTTGCTCTGTTGCTCTCTGCAGAGCTAGGGGTTAAACGCTAGGGGTTGCTCTGCTGCTCATGTGGGTGCCCGCGCGCGCGTTCCTTCTCTCTCTCTCTCTCTCTCTCTCTCTGCCTCTCTCGCTATCTCTCTCTCCCTCTTGCTCCCTTTCTCGGTGCGGCCAGCCCATTCAACTTGTCCGTAGCTCTGGTTTTTGTATGTCACAATTGCTTTTGTGCCGCATTTTCTTCGTGTCTCTCGTTTTTCTTTAGGTTTTCAGTTTGGGAAAAACTACATCGAAATCGAGACTTAAATCTTATGCACAATGATCCTAACTGCTGATCCTTGTCACAAAATACACACACACACACACGCACGCTCATAAGAAGCAAAAGAATCTGAAGAATGAAGCAAACTCGCTTTTCAATGCACTTCCACTTTTTGTCAGGCCAAAAGAAAAAAATAATAAATAAAAAATATCATAAAAAACAAAATGCATGAGAGAAAAGTAGAATGCAAAAAAAAAAAAAAAAACTACGCACTCTCTACCATATAAAAATGTGATCCATCATGTGTGCGCCACTGCCCTCTGTCTCACCTTCCCCTCCCCCCCCCTGGCTCTGCCACCATTTGGCACCTAGCTGCATGCCACAGTGGATGACTTGTTGGGGTTCTGTGATCTGTGATCTGTGCGCTCTGTCTGTTGGCCTTGGGGCAGCAGACGTCGAGGCAACTGTTCTTTTGCATTAAGCATTTGCCGCATTGCCGCATTTGACACGTGCTTCCGATTCCGAGGCTGATTAACATAATGCAACAACAACAACAAAATCCCACAAGTGTGTGCCGTCTCATGCATATCAAGTGCGTGCCTGACAGAGCGAGAGGGTGGGCCGAGAGGGGCTGCCCTTGGCTGCATTGCGACTCATTTGCTTGAAGCTTTGTCACGAAGCTGCAACTTGACGTGCCTGACATACGCCCAGTGTCTGGCATGTTCAGCCTCGTATACCCTATGTCTTAGCGACGGGGTATGCTCGGAGAAGTCCTTTTATAAGTTACATACATTCTTCCCTTAGTTATTCGCTTGGTACAGAGTACATAAGGCACTGCTCGATTCCAGCGCAAAATAAAACACATAATGCAGAAATATCAAGAAGAGGTCCTATTTATGTAGTATGTATAGATATGGCACGTCTAGACTTAGCAAGTTTGACATATGTCTGCTCAACAAAGAATTTGACCTCAATATATATATATATATATATATATATATATGCTTCAGATATGTTTAGCTTACCTATGTGAACTCGGGAGCTATAAGAGCTACTTTCAACAGTTTTGGTATAAGAGCTCGTTCAGGCCTTATAAGTACACTTTATAATTAATTAAATCTCAATATTTATATATACATCGCATATGCTTAGACCAGCTATATGAACTAAGGAAATGTAAAAGGTAATTTTACCAAATTTGGTACATGAGAACTTCAAGACAATACAAATGTTCTTGGTATTAAATCGTAACTCTATATATTTATTTATAAGACGGATGCACTTAGCCCACCTATATGAGCACGGGAAATATAGGAGCAGCCCTTAGCAGGCCTTCGTATGTGTACTTCATGTATAATTTGATGCCAATATTTATAAATACATCGCATATGCTAACCCCATCTATATGAACTCGGTAACAGTAAGAGTTACCCCTAGAAAATTTGGTATTTAGTTATCTGTAAACATAAACCTAGAGATTCAATAGATTACCAATGCTAACAGACACTTCAGACGATTGTAGAAAGCATATTGTAGAATTTGGTAACGATAAATTTTAAGTATCTAATCTGATGATTTCTTATCTTTACAGACGAAGTCGTTGCTGATGTTACAAACTATATCAATTTGCATTTCTGATATATAAGATCTATATCTATGTCCATCTCGAAGAACTCGGGAACTATAAGACCTATACTCAGCAGATTTGGTAAGTGAGCTCTTTGCACAGAATTATCTGATAACTCTTTTCACAAATTTCAAATCTTTGGCATAACCTTTAACTTAATCCTAAAAAGGGAGATTTTTAGTTTTGAATTAAACAACTATTCCCATGAACTGAGAACCTATTCGAACTAGAGTCAGATACTTTAAGTGTTTGGCAATATTTTCCCTGCCCAACTGGTTACAGGGCATCTTTGCAGTTGAGGTTTTTTTTTATTGGAGCTCGTGAAGTTCTTGGCGCTAGGCGCAAACGTGTCCACGTGCGTCTCGCTGGCTATTTATACGCCCGCAACAATAAAAGTGGCCCCCATAAAGCACGCTCATAAATTTGTTATGGGCCGCAACAATGTTGTCCAGGGCAGGGTCCAGGGTTCGGGCTCGGGTTCATGGATGCGTCTGCAGTTACCGTTACAGTTGATCTGCACTGCGCTGGGGTAACGAGATTGCGGCCCATAAATGCATAAAAAAAGAAGGAAAAAAAAAACGTTGATTAACCCTAAGCAGCTGCCACAACGAGTGCAATTCCGGCGGGTTGCGGGCTCGAGCTGAAGGTTCTGAGGTTTTCAGCCGCTCAAGAAAATCGTTTAATCGTTTTTTAAAAGCTGCCAACGATTTTCGAAAAATTCCATTTCATTAATGCATTTCTAATATGCTGCAGGGGCAAATGGCTTGCGTCATCGCCTGCACGCCCATTGATTGGAAAATTGAAACCCTGCTGAAAAAATCATTTTCAACTCTTTTCATTTTTATATTTTACCTACAACACACCCACAAAAAAAAAAGAGAAAGAAAACGAGAAGAAGTACAAAAACATGAGCGAGAAAATGTTTTGGTAGCATATTAATTAGCTTCTGCATTTCCATTTTGATTAATTAAAGTGCACGTAATGCTCGGGCGTGGCCAACGACAACAGGTAGCTGCCGCAGGAGTAGCTCACAGGATCAAACGGGATGGCCAGAGTTGCCAGGGCAACCCGCTAAAATGCCACTTGACAGCTGACAGCTGGCGGCATCTGTGGCTCATGCTAGAGTCCAATCGGATGTAATGGAATCTAATGGGTTTTATGCAGCGCCCTCTGGTGTTCAGATTGGCTCACAATCGGAATATTGTAAATCCCATTGGTGAGCATGGAATGAATCTTGTCAGAAATCGGGGAAGATTTTAAAGTCTGTAGAGGTTTACATAAATGTGCCCCCGTAGGCGATGTTAGAAGTTTCACAAGAAATGCGAAGGAGATGTCTTCGACCCTATATATACTATAGATCGGCATCAACAGACAGGCTTTTTCATAGGCATTTACGTGTGTCCCTCTGCAAATTGTTTCTGGTTTTTACTGAATTATAAAAGAATCTCTCAGTCAAATAAATATATCCCGGCCCAGTCCTTATTCTGCAACATTCCCTCATATATACACTCGCCTCATCTGGCACGCAATTTGTGGCTTGGGTATTTCTTGGAACTACAGCAAATTTCTTCACTTCTCTGTCTGAGTTTCTCCCTCTCTCTCTCTCTCTCTCTCTCTCTGGAGCGCGTCCTTTGGCAAGCTGCAAAGAACGGAAGCACACTCCAAGTGTCAACAACTCCGATTTGCCGCGCCTGTTCTAGCTATCTAACGATATCGATATCGATATGACAATTAATTACGTACTTTATGTGACAGTTCTGTTCATTAAGACCAATTGGAATTCCGTACAGCAGCTACTGAAGAGCTGAGCTACTGCAATCCCAACTCCGGAACCCTTCACTCGCATCACGTACGCATCGAACAAGTGTAAGACGTGATGGAGTAGGTCATCGAATTTACAGGATTTACAGTTTGTCAGTTTTTGGCTATCGTCATATGACGTGATATGGTGATATCGTGAGCGTGAAATCTGTCGCCCTTCTTATGCCCATTGAAAATACTCAGAATGGGCATCTTGACATGTAAGACAATGTGTGTAGCCGATGGAAGAAGCGGGCAGTCGATCTAGTCGTATACACAAATTCTTCAAATTCAAATTGCCGCAATTTTCTCAAAAGTCGATAAATATCGATTTCCAGTTCAAGTGAGTTTGAACACATCGCGTAGATAGTTCGTGATAACAAATTTGGCTTATGGCTTGAATAATCTCACACTAACTAACTAATTTGCACTTAGATTGCAATTTTTAATCTGACTCTTCAAATACAACAAAAACGATAAATATCGATTTGCAACCCGACAGTTTTCAAGGTTTCTCAACGTTTTTAAGAGCTAATCACAAGAAATTTGGCAAGTTAATGAAAATATTGTTTATGGGGAAATTAATTATCTGTTATATAAGAAATATAAAAGGAACAGGGTATCTACTAGTCTATCGCTCTATGCTTAGTTGCTGCCGCTGTGGGGTTTGGGTTGTTCTGGTTTTCGCTTATCTCTAATCTTTGCTGCTGTGGCCTGTTGTCAACACATTAATTTGACTTTTTATGGCCGTTTGAGGTGGGGGTAAAAAAAAAAAAAAAAAAACAACATCGGGCGGAAATTGTCACTTTTCGCCGCGTGATTTGTAAATGTGAAAACTGAAGCAGTTGCTGCTGCGCACTTCGCGAGCTCTGCGAGCTCTGGCGTTTGAGCTTGGGGCTGGATTTGGATTTGCTGTGAGCTGTGCGCTTAAGTGGGGAGCCTTTGTGAAATTCGCACGATCACACCTAATAACGGTAATTTGTACGCACGCCACTCGCCACCGATAATTGCGAGGGCACAGGATATGCCCCCCCTCACCCCCTCCCCCCTCCACCACTCCCGCACTCCGCACACACATACTCCCCAAAAGTCCGCTGCCGATGAGCTGAGTGAGATAACAGCGGCTGCAGCGGTTATTAAAAACGCGGCGGCGG